ATCCTTAGTATGTTTGTTTAGTTTGTAACCCAGTTTGGGGCCCCAGACCCAGTACTGGGTCACCCAGTCCGACCCAGACCCAGTACTGGGTCGAAGGGTTCGACCCAAAACCTAACCCAGACTGGGTTGGGTCTGGGTTGGGTCTGGGTTTTACTGGGTCGTGCGGAAGACTACAATTGGCTATCAACCAGTTTGTACAACTTGTAAGAAATCAGTGGAAGCTGCCAATTAAGGCCTTCCACTACGACAATAAAGCAGCAGCTGGCAGAGCAGCGGAGTATAGTCTCACAAGCGATAGTATCCTGATATATCACTCCCCCCTAGGGCACTCAGAGATAAATAGGTATACTGAGAGATCAGGTAGAATGATTATCACCCGGATACGTATACTCGCCCTCGAAGGGAACCTCCTAAAGGAGCTATAGCCGGAGTTCGCAAGCGCCGCTGTATAGTTATTAAATCGTATACCAACGTATATCGCCGCCGAGAATCGGTGGGTAGTACCATAGGAGGAAGTGAGGAAGGAAGTCGCACCACAGGCGCCGAGGATAAACCTATCAAATATTAGGTTATATAGAAGCTTAGCGTACTGCAGGATTGAGAAGTAAGTACAGTCCGATAAGATAAACCTACGTGCAGAGATTGGCTTCGTAGTGGGATACCTTACCTCGAATATCTAGAAGATCTAGTTCCTATATAGTGGGAAAGTGAGGTATATCAGGGATACAGTCATTGACGAGACACGAAAATATACCCCTGATTATAAGAAATATCAGCCTATCCCACTACCAGCTATAATAGGACTATAGGAACTCACCGTTAAGGAGGTCGTATAGGTGATAAACCACCAAATTACTAGTTAAGAGGAGACTAGTACAATAGAAGAGAGGACTCAGGATCTACAGGAAGTATAGGAGCCTCAGTAAGTACAGTAGTAAGAGGAGGTTCCGCAGTAAGCAGAGGTCCAAAAGATAACAGTCAACCAACGAGGGACTACCCTAGTCTAGGGGGTAGGTGATAGGTTATATTGGCCGACCCCAGACCCTCTACTACAAGCACTACTAGGTTCCTTTCCGATTGAACAGCCCCTACTACCACTACCAATCACCCCACCGCAGGAGCAAGAGAGGTATACTAGCTCTGGTCAGGGGGTAGATACCGAGGGAGATCAAAGGGACCAGATCCAGTAAGAAGAAGCGGATCTTAAAACCACTGAAGACGAACTAGAGAAGTAACTTTAGGCAGAGCTACTGGCTCCGAGAAGAGAGATAATCGGAGATATAGATACCAGCAATATACTCAGTGGTAGGCGTAGACGCTAAGTAAGGTAGGAAAAAGACTTCGCCTACGCGATAAGCACTACCTAAGAAGTGGAACCGCCGGCGCTACTCTATACTTTTACCGCTGGCTTATACGCTGAGAAACTAGACACTCGCCGCTACCGAGACGACCTCCCACCACCGCTAAAATACTGGAAGGATATAATAAACTACCTATTTCAGGAAGGTTTTCTCGCAGCGATAAGGAAGGAGATTAAGTCCCTCTCTGAAAAGGGGACTTTTAAGGTTATTAAGAAACTAAGAGACCGAGGGAAGCAGATTCTCCCTCTTTTATAGGTGTTCTTATACAAATTTGACTAGGACGGGTACCTTTTGAAGCTTAAGGCCCGTATCTATATACGCGGAGACCTTGAAACTATCTCTCACGAGGAAAAGAGAGCTGCTACGCTAGCAGCAAGGACAGCGAGGATGATTTTTACCTTGGTTACTGCCTTTAATCTTAACCTAAGACAGAGAGATACTGTCACCGCGTTCCTAAACAGCAAGTTAGACCAAGAGACGTATATATATATACCTGAGGGATTTCAAAACCTAGGTAAATACTGGAAGTTACGTCGCGCGCTATACGGTCTACGGATTTTACCACGACTTTAGCAGCAAGAAGCAGTAAGCGTGCTCCGTAAGCTAGGTCTACAGCAAGTACCAGAAGACCTATACGTTTTTATAGGAAAAGGACTACTGGTTTTCTTCTATATAGATGATATCCTAATCGCTAGTTATACCAATATAAAGGCGTAGGCACAGCAATTAGAGCGAGATCTCGAAGTACACTAGGAACTGACCGATCATAGAGAAGCAGTATAGTTCCTAAATATACGAATCATTCGAGACCGGCAACAAAAGAAGCTCTGGTTATATTAAGATAGCTATATAACAAGTATTGCTACCCGATATCACTTAACAGAAAGGGTACCAGTCTATACTCCACTGCCGGTTGAGGAATTGACCCCTTTTCAGGGGGTAGCAACGCCAAAGGAAATCCTACTATACCAGCAAAAGGTGGGCTCAGCAGAGTATACCACTATTATCACTAGGCCCGACGCTGTAAAGGCGACCGCGAAGCTCGCGCAATTTCTTACGAACCCCGGTCCACAGCACCAGTAAGCAGCTGATCGAGTTATCACCTACCTCTACTCCACCCGGAACCTAGCGATTGAGTACAGAACAGCCAATACTAGGACCGACTCGGTGCAGTTTGTAAGTGACGCTTCGTATAGAGACCACCCGGATAGAAAAAGCTCAGCTGGGTATATCTGTTAAGTATACGGCGGTCTAATTGACTGGAAAGCAAGTAAGCAACCTACAGTGACAACGTCAACCACAGAAGCAGAGCTACTCGGCCTATCGGAGGTAGGAAAGCAGCTCCAATAGTGGCGCCGATTATTTCAAAACCTCGCCTTTACTCCGTCACACCACCTAACAATCGACTGTGATAACGAGAGGACTATCAGCTTATTGACAAGCGAGGACACAGCTTTTGAAACGAAGCTTCGATATATCGATATTCACCACCATTGGCTCCGCCAGGAAGTCCAACAGGGTCGAATACGGGTGCGCTGGGTGCCTATAGCAAGCATGGTTGCTGATAGCCTCACCAAATTGCTCACTCGGCAAAAGCATGAGAGCTTCGTGCGACTGCTCAACATGGTTGATATAGGCCATCTTATAGACTAGGAATTACAAGATGATACAGCGATCTCAGCAAGCATACTGGGACCGCTGAGGGGGTGTGTCGGCGCAGATACACCAGGATACCGGAGGATTTATTAATCCTAAGTATGCAGTAATATTTCTTATGTAATCAGGACAGTATAAATTGCCAGGAAGTCAATACAGCAATACGGAGGGTTGAAGACCATTGATTGGACCCATACATTTCCACCATACGGAGTAGTCGGACAATCACAGGATGCCTTGATGCCTTCCTTTTATCGCACGTGACCTGTGTTATCTTCGAAGCGGCCAAATTTTTTTGTTCCCGAATTATTGTTTTCATATAAACCATCAACTCTCAATCATGGCTCCAGTACAGGCGTCTGCACGCCCTCAAAGTCTATCGACATTGCTCGAGACTCTAAATAACTGTCTGTCGACAACTGCTCCCTCTCTACCCAAGCCACACAAGGATGCGCCTTCCGATGTGACGATCGAACCTCCCCAAGACGGCATCTCTCTCCTCGACACCAAGAGCGAAATTCTCCTCTCCTACTTGCAAAATCTCGTATTCCTGATTATTTTCCAACTGCGAAATGTGTCAGCGAAACAAAACCCGAAAGAGAAGAGCGAATCCACGGAAAATTCCCTCGAAGACGATATTCGCAAGAAGTTGATTGAGCTTCGAGTATTCCTCGAGCGCGGTGTTCGTCCTTTAGAAGGAAGATTGAAGTATCAGGTGGACAAAGTCATCAAGGCTGCAGAGGATGCGGAGCGGACAGAGAAGGCTCAGCCGACCAAGACCAAGACCAAGAAAAGCCGCAAAGTCGCGACATCAGACAGCGAAGCCTCATCGGATGAGGACGAAGATGCGAGCGGTAGTGACGATGAAGAGGACATCGATGAGATGGCGTACCGACCTAATGTCTCTGCCTTCGCCAAGGGAATGGCCGAAAAGAAGAAGGCCGAGCCCTCCAAGGGCGCTGTCGAAGCTCCTGGCGATGGCATTTATCGCCCCCCGAGGATCATGCCAACTTCCTTGCCTACGACGGAGCGCCGCGAACGCAAGGAGCGCAGACACATGCGGTCCAACGTCATCGACGACTTTGTTAGCGCTGAAATGTCATCCGCGCCCATGGCCGAGCCCAGCATCGGCAGCACCATCATCGACGGTGGCCGAACCGTCAAGACAAAGAAGGACCGAGAGCGCGAGGCAGAGCGTACCACCTACGAAGAGACCAACTTTGTCCGATTGCCGAAGGAGACTAAGAAGGAATTGGCCAAAAAGGGTTTCGGAAAGGCTTCCACATACGGTGGTGATGAGTGGAAGGGGCTCAATGAAGGTGCTGATAACATTGAACGTCTCACTCGGAGATCTAAAAGCAGCGGAGCCGCACTCGACAAGAGTCGGAAGCGAGTCCGCAACGAGGACGGGCAACGCGGTGATGGTGTGGGAATGGGCCAGATTTTCGATAAGAGACGAAAGAAGGTTGACAGCTGGAAGCGGTAAAGAGTGGTTGCAACAAGCAATTTCTATGTTCAAAGGCGTTTCCTTCTGGAATCCAATCACTTTGGAGTTTTCTTGATTACCCAAGGTCCATCTTGACCAATGCATATCTGTATCTATACTCTACGACATACATTGAAGGATATGATTTCATTTGATCAATTCAGTCTACGGCTGTCTATGTGTATATTTTATGCCTCACCGCCAGAATATAAAGACTCGGCATGCCGATAAAGACCAGCATCTAATATAACCCTCCAGTGCTCATACATATCAACCTTGAAATGATTGTGTATGGCCTCGATAGATCATGTTGTATCGAAAGAACAAACTTATTTATGTGGGTAGATTCCAACTTGGTATGACTGGGCGCATATGAAATTCACATGTTAAATCTAGAACTGAATATGACGTCATTGGATCCCTGGACCAACTCTTGATATCTTTGTTTCTTTTCTTCCAATGTTTGTTTCCAACAGCACTCTTGAACTTTGATCACAATGGAAAACCCAGGTGCGTTGTGAATTTGATCTTCTGTATTTATCTCCTACTAATCCTTACAGTGGCCGACATACCTACCGTTATCCGGCGACTGACACAGTCGCCGCCGTCTTTGCAAGAAACGGTCATTAAGCAATACTTCACCAACAATGCATCTTTTGTTCATCCATTCTGCCGAGTACCCAACTTCGAAGGTAGCAGATGGTGGATAACAAAGATATTTCAATGGTATAAGATCATGTCACCCCGGATTGAGCTAGAGATTCGTTCTATTGGTATGTCAATACGAGAGCTTCAAGGTGGTGGACAGCATAATTTTGACTACAAACTCTGACCAATAATCTAGCATTTGACGAGGAGAAGCTACGGCTCTACGTGAATATGTCCCAAATCTTCACAATTTGGCTTGTTCCCTTCCATGTCGCTCCGGTGACTCTCACAACGGTCTTGGATCTGACATACGAGTCGGCCAAGAGCAACGCTAAGACCAATGGCGAACATAGACTTTACTACATTTCCAAACAAGAAGATCTGTATCAAACATCGGAGTTTGTCAAGTTCCTAATGCCGCACATCGGGTATTGGGTTGTTTTTGTTTGGCACATCATTGCAACCCTCTTCTGTGTCCTGGGTGTGGCCTTGCTATGGCCTATACTGTGGTTGGAAGAAAAGGGTTATATACCGGGCCGCTTTTTGCGGGGGGGCAACTTGGCTTATAACATGGAGAGGAAGATTCCAGAAATCAAAGGGCAATGATAGGATTGATTTTCTATCTATATGTGGATATCATTGAATACAAGCGCTACCTAGGTTTTCATATCACATCCAATACATGAGTGCTTGGCAACTGTCTTTCGAGCCAAACCAACCAACAAAGCATTCCATTCAAATTAAGATGGCTCTTGGTTTTCACTGCGCATGTATCCTTCATCAGGATACTGGCCCAAATATCATATCAATCTAATTCAATGGGTTTTGTTTGCCTTGCGTTGTTTATTCAGCTCTCTGCGGAACGAGTTCTCTTGTTCCACAAACGTCAAGGGCAAGCCACGACCAATACCAAAGAACACAAACAACGCCCACTTCCAACGGAACGGGTTGACGACAAGAACGAAGAAGTACCAGTAGATCAGCTCAGCATAGGTAAAGAAGTCAAATGCTGCGGTGGGTGCCAGACGCTTCATGAATCTAGTGAAATCGATCCAGGTCTTCATCCACCCTTCAGTAGGCCTCGTCAATGGGTCGGTCAAGAACATGAGCAGGAATCGAGTGTAGATTCCAATATGCATATTGCCAACTGTACCAATCGCATCGACGTAGGTACTGTTGTTTGCGCAAATGTCCGGGTATTTAGGCGGGAAGACTTGAAGATACCAACTAGGCGGTCCGTAGGGTTCATCGAAACACTCATCGGGCAAAAAGTTCAATGAAGGCCGTTTGAAACCAGTTGCCATGACGATGATGTCTCCCTCAACCAGTCGTGCGCGGCCAGGCCCTCCCTTTGGGGCGCCTTTAGATCGGTAGTTGAACACCACACCCTTCTCTTCCACAGAAACGATGTCACCTCGTAACCAGTGGGCTTTGCCCTCGCGAATCTGGTTAAACAACTCGTCATTTGCCATAGGAGTTCCGGTAAATATTCCCTTGTCTGCTGGCGCAATGTCTTGAAGATCACGGTAGAAGAACTTGCGTAGCAACCATTCGGGAATCCATGAGAGTGATGTTTCCTGACCGAAAATATTGCACGCTAACAGAGACTGCACGAGTATATTTCGAGGGATAATCCATTTATCGGACCGGGAAAGAACATCAATCTCGGCAGCCTCATTCTTGACGGCAAACTCCAAGGCCTCAATGGCGCTAGCACCGCCTCCCACAATGAGCACCTTTTTGCCTTTGGCATTTTTGCCATCCAACTCAGAGGAGTGGTAGATTTGGCCCTTGAATTTTTCCTGGCCGGGGAGCGGTGGCATCTTAGGATCTCCACACACGCCGACCGTAGCCAAGATGCCATCGAAGAGGCCATACTTCTCTTCGTCATTGTTGATAATCCACTTGCCGTTCTTGTTCTTTTTCGTAGAGGTGACTTTAGTTTCGAAGGAAGTACATTTCTCTAGGTCATATCTCTTCCAAACATCAACGATTTGCTCTTTGATCTGTTGCTGGGTCGGATATGCGCTGTCGAATTGGACCGAAGGATGGAAACGGTACATCACACTGTGGACTTGTAATGCGGATGTGGAATTGACTCTCTACAAAGGTATTAGCAGATGTATTTTAATAAAAAAAATGCAGAACTGACACTCCAGATACCGCCCAATCCTTGTTCTTTAGGTCTGGATTCGAACAAATGGACATCGAAGCCATGGCCAGCACAGTGGGCAGCCGAAGACACACCGGTCAGGCCTGCGCCAATGACTGCAACTCTCTTTCGAGGAAGATTCGCGTTTTTCTGATTGGTAGGAGGTGGAGGTATAGGAGAAAATACATAAACCAACACCGCTTGCATAGCCATGTAGAGCCAGGTATATGTCTCTACGAATGGATGCCGGATGAAGGCCGAGAGCGCCGAGATGAGGGACCCAGAACCCATGATGTTTGCATAAGTGAAAATTGAGGTAATTGAGGACAATTGAGAAAGAAAAAGAATTAATAGTCAAAATATTTGTACTTTTCCTGCTGGAGTGACGTTATACCTTCTTTTACATCCATGTGATAGTGTATGTAGTTATATGACATCATCTATGGAGCCCTGGAGTGAACCTGAATTTTGGCGAAAGCCTAACATGTGATAATCTATAAAATATACTGCCTAGGTACACTACAATCTATTATGATATGCATATTAAGGCTTGTATTTGCTTGATTCATTCTTCATGAGAATCTCGGAGTATGTCTTCCCCATTCTACCATACCAGCTTTCCAAGGTGATACAGCAACCTTAGATCATCCCACCCCCCTTTAGATATGATCTCGGGACCACCCCCCTTGCCGGAAAATTTAGGTGACTATCTACCGCTCTTCTCACCGCCTTCCTGGCGAACTCCCTATAGTAGTAGACAGTAGGTACCCACAATTTGTATGTAAACCCCATACAAATGTAAGTCACTTTTGTCACATGAATCAGATAACTACATCTGTATGTAGTTAACTAACAAAACAATGAACTCAATAAACAAACAAATTGATACTCCAATTCTAGTTTACACCTATCAACTTACCTTTCTCCTTACCACTTCCTCATCAATTCAAGCTTCAATTTCATCCAAAAGCATCATTACTATGGCCTCCTTAGGCCTCGATTATGTACCTATATTCTGACTCGGAATCCGAGTTAGAGCGGGTTCCCGAGTCTCTATCCGGTACCGCACCAATTAACGAGTCGCCGCGGGGACGAGGACAGGGACGTAGACGTAGAGCTACCACCACTACAGCTGATACCACTATAGCTGCTCCTACTGCAGAACGTGGCCGTAGCCGAGGACGCCTATTACTGAGGACGCTGAGGATGGCACTGATACCGAGACCGGAGGACGGGGACATGGAGGAAAATGTGCACGAGGAGGTGCTTGTGACCTAGTATTATCAAATTGTAGAGGAGATCACTGCAGAAACCAATGAAATGAGCAATTTTTTCTGATCAAAAAACAGGTTTTTTTACTATGTAAAACAGAATTAAATATAGTAGGCAGAATATATGGCAGTTTGAATTTTAATTAGGAAGGTAGTACTGAAAAATCAGGTAAAAATCAGGCATAGAGGGTTGCTGTATCAATCCCCGTGGTCAATCCCCTACATACATATTTAACATGCATTATGTATGTAACTTTGGAAGTCTTCATGTGATGTACGGAGTATAGATCGTCAAATTATACTCCGTACCAACATGTCGAGATTGCGAGGAGCTTGACTTTGTTTATTTCTTCTTCGCCATTGATCTCTCTTATTTTTCAGCGCAATAACTGAAGAACTCGAGATGCTAGTATTTTTTATCAAAATTTGAAGGAAGAGAGCTCGTTAAAGAAGAATAGATGTATGTAGTTAGTAGACAAGTATATACTGTATATGTATATAGGTAGCAATCCAGATCTAGTAAAGTTTACATGTAGATACTACCTAGGTAGCTCATTTAATTTAGATCTAGATTACTATTACAACAATTGCAACTACTCAATCTCTATTGAGATACCTAATTGCTTAGCATGATTGAATATAGTTTAAAATTGAATCAACCCTTCATGGACATCTATGGATGGTTGTATACAAAGGGCGGTCACGAGTTCTGCCATCAATGCCGTCAACAGATGAGCCTCTTGATTCTGAAACCTTCCGGGGTTCAGTTTCTTTCACCGTTGAGACTCATGAAATGACACAATGATCATTCAGTCAAATTGATTCTTCTGGCTTGACTTTACCAGTCAATCGTCGACAATTTCGCTCTCTCAACATGGCCCAAACCCTCGTCCTCGACCAATTCCTCAGCAGTTTGCAGGAATTGGTCGAGAAGCGTGATGGAGCCAAACTTCAGGACTTTCTTCAACTCGAACCGCCGCTCTCTGATATCTACCAGCGCATGATCAGTGAACTACGACAGAACTATGCGCCGGGCTCCCAAGCCGACTCCAAACTTCTTCAACGATGCGAGCCTCTCGTGCCGCAATCCAAGGGTGGCTCATGGACGGCGTTTCCGACATTTATCAAGCTCTATTTGATCTTTCTACGTGATATGAACACGGATAACTTATTGGAAACATACAATCAATTGAAGGCACTGCTCAAGTAAGTTTTGCTGTCCCCGGAGGGATTCCGAATGCACTCTGTCCCACATCTTCGAGCTTGAAAGCTGACTCAACCTTCTCATCAACTGTAGTCAATGTGTGCTCGCCCTCGGAGATAGTCAAATGGGGGTGGTCGTTCTTCCTACTGTTCTCTACTTGTCCAAAGTTCTGGCAAAATTGGCAATGGGCCTCGACCGTCGACCGGATCTGATTGCGCATATTCGACGAATGGAAGGCCTTGCGGATCAGGATGAGAGCACCGAGAAGGTTACTTTGGTGGAAAAATCGGCCAACGTGGTGCGCGAAGCTTTCATCAAGTGCCTCACAGATCGCACCGGCACTCCAGGCCCTAATGGTAAGCCGGAGGGCAAGCGCATTGGTATCTATCTCATGGCCAATCTTTGCCTAAAATTGCTGTTCCAGGTACGAAGGCCTATCCCTGAATATCTCACCCTATTTCGGATCTTGATGCTAACGGAATGCAGTGTAACAAACTACGCAACGCCGAGCAGATGTTTGCAAGCATTAGCGCTCAATCCCCTCCCCTGGCCCACTTCCCAGCCTCACAGCGCGTCACCTACCTTTATTACCTCGGGCGCTACCTTTTCGCCAATAATCTTTTCTTCCCTGCCCGCATTGCTTTGCAGGCTGCCTACGACCAATGTCACCGCCAGGCCATAAGCCAGCGGCGCTTGATCCTCTCATACCTCATTCCGTGTAACATTATCTTGGGCCGATTCCCTTCCCAGGCACTTCTTCAACGACCAGAAGCACAAGGATTAGCAGAACGGTTTCAGCCACTGTGTCGATTAATTATCCGTGGAGATTACCTGGCTTTCCGACAACATCTCTTATTTGGCTCGCCGACCGCTGAATGGTTTGCGCGTAAAGGAATTCTGTTTGCTCTCCGAAACCGATGCGAGATTCTCGTGTGGCGATCTTTTGCGCGCAAAGTTTTCATGTACGGAGGTTCTTATGGAGGTCCGCAGGCGCAGGCGCAAAGAGGACCTCCACCAGTCCTTAACCTTAAAAAGGCTGTTGTGGCTATACGATGGCTACAAACACAGCACGCACAATCCGGAAATGGCCCGGCCAATGCTATGGTGGCCCCCAACCTCTATGGATCACAAGTCGTTTCCGAACCTACAGACATTGACTACGCCCGCCTGGAAGGGGCAGATGGAAGGGCCAGTCCCACCACTGATCAAGAAATACTAGAAAAATATGGTGATTATTTGGCCCCGGATGGATTTTACACCGAAGAAGGGCGATCACAGCCGAACCAACCGGGTCTATTGATCGATGGAGACCCAGAAGAGGATTATGGCGATTACGAACTAGATCCATATGCGTATGACTTCGACGACACGGAAGCAGACATATCCTTGATGCACGAGATTGAATCGATTTTTGCATCCATGATTGCACAAGGGTTGATGGGCGGTTACCTTCTTCATCGTGAGCCTCGATTCGCCGTTCCTGGTGCCAAAATCAAAGGCATCTTGCCCACAGGATTCCCCAATGTTTGGCATACTATCTCTGCACGCGAAATTCATGATGCCAGTGTTCCCGGTTGGGTGCAGTCTCGGGCGCCCGCAGCAGTCGGAGCAGCTGGAGGTGGTAGGGTAGTCAATCTCGCTGGAGCACGCCCAGTTGGGTCTCAATAGGGTTGGTTTTGCCTATTTTGTTTTTATTCCTTTTTTTTTTATGTTGATGATACCGATATTGTAGTTCTGAATTTGATCTCCTACATACAATCCTACCTAGCCATCTCACAAGTGTTACGCCGAATATCAAAACTTTAAATGCGGGGAGATATCGGGCCGGACTCTGATTCTCCTCATTCTCCTCACAGTTGCCTTGCATCTCATATCCCTTGCATTTCTTGCATTTCTTGCATTTCTTGCGTATTTTGGTTTTTTGGTTTTTTGCGTATATTTAACCTTCTTTTATCTACAATGGATCATACTGCAGCTGTACAAGAAATCTCAGCAAGGGTAGCTGACTTCCACAGTCGCCAGCAACCATTTCGTATATATCATGGTGCTACCAACAGTACTCGGCCCTCCAACCGATCTCTCTCCAACACCGTCAGCACAGAACCTCTCACGCGGGTCCTCGAAGTCGATACCAACCGATGTACAGCTATAGTCGAGCCCAATGTCTGTATGGATGCTCTGGTGGCTGCCACCAAGGCCTACGGCCTGGTGCCTTTGGTCGTTGTCGAGTTCCCCAACATCTCGGTTGGAGGTGGATTCTCAGGCACATCAGGGGAGAGTAGCTCTTTCCGTGAGGGATTTTTCGATCACACAGTCAATTGGATTGAAATGGTCCTAGCAGATGGCCAGGTGGTTAAGGCATATAACGATCGTGTCGAGACGGGATCGGGACCGGAACCGGCGGATAAGCACTCGGACTTGTTTTGGGGCACGGCATCTTCCTTCGGAACGTTGGGAGTAGTCACTCTATTGGAAATTCGATTGAAAAAGTCACAGCCATTGGTGGAACTGAAATACTATGTCAATTCCAACATGAACGACGCGGTGCGTGCCTTTGAAGAGGCTAGCGCTGATCCAACCACTGAATATCTGGATGGAATCGTCTATGCACGGGATAAGATCGTCGTTTGTGCTGGAAAACAAGTTGAGCAAAGTTCCAATGTAAAGCCGAGATGCTTTACTCGCCGACAAGATGATTGGTTCTATTTGCATGTCGAACGAATTGCTCAATCCAAGATCTCCAGCATCTCCGACCAAGAGAGTTCTCCTCGCATGCCAGATGCAGTGGACTTCATTCCTCTGACTGACTACCTCTTCCGTTATGACCGGGGTGGTTTCTGGGTTGCCCGTTATGCATTCCGCTACTTCTGTACTCCATTCATCTCCCTTACACGCTGGGTTCTCAACCGATTTATGCACACCAAGGTGATGTATCATGCCTTGCATGTCAGCGGACTTGGGCGACAATATATCATCCAAGATGTTGGTGTACCAATATCCACTGCTGCCGAGTTCTTGGACTGGCTGGACCGCCCTGAAAACTTTGGACAATATCCGCTTTGGCTCTGTCCGCTGCCACCAGGAAGTGCCGGTGGGTTGGAAGGACAGTCGACAAATGATGGCAAAGGACAACTCCTCAATTTTGGAATTTGGGGGCCTGCCATTACTACGGATCCGACCGGCTTCGTGGCTCAAAACAGAAAGCTTGAACACAAGGTCCACAGTCTTGGAGGAAAGAAATGGCTATATGCACATACTTACTATACAGAGGACGAGTTCTGGGCCATCTATAACAAGCCAGCGTATGATTCTCTACGGGCCAAATACCACGCACAGCATCTTCCATCCCTGTATGAAAAGGTCCGCGTGCATGAATCCGATCTCCCTGGTCCGCATCGGGGAGAGTTCGAGAGTGGCTGGAAGGGAACAGTCAAACGTGCCCTTTGGGACGTCTGGCCATTTTGTGGTCTTTACGGAGTTTACAAGGCTTGGAGAGGAGGAGACTATCTGTTACAAAAAGAGTCTCCCAAGAAAAAGGTCGATTGAATAGCATATTTCTAGAATATTCAGGGTATCGATGGATTTTGTCTAGCCAAAAACGCGAGGCAATCTAGCGCATATGCATGATGCAATATAGGTAAACAGAAAACATGATAAGTTGAAGAGGGCAGGAAAATCCCTGAAAACAAAAGAAAACGCAGAAGCCGAATCCGAAAGAAAAAGAACCTAAGGGGTGCAGAGTATGTCTATTCTACTACAATGCGTCCTTCTAGTCGAGGAGATATTCCTGACGTCCAGGCTGGAGTGAATTCACCTTCGCCGTCCATGGTATTCGGATTTCTGCACTGCAGACCTGCGTGCCGCATCCACTTTCGGACAACTCGCCGTGCAATTTGTAGACGATACTCTTCTTCAGCGGATGATTTCGCTGGGTGAGTGACGTAATTTGTGATTGGCTCTGAGGATGTGAGGATATTTGGATCCTCATCTGAGTCAGAATCCATGGCAGTGCCATTCGTCTGATCCCCGGTGATAACGTCAGTCTCCTGATCGACCTCTTCGGGAAATCGACCATAGTAATATGATGCCCGGCCTGTCCGTCGGAGAGGAGGCTTTGTGTGCCTTTCACTTGTTTTTGCTTTCTCGGTTTTGGGAGACGCTGGTTTCAGCCAGCCATCACCGTGCAGATTGCGATGTACAGTACCCCAGTGTCGGCCTAAACTGGCGCTCCAACGGCTCCATTTCCCGAGTACTTTGACACTTAGAAAATATTGCCGTAGGATTGTACTGATGAGCACACCATTTTCCTCAGACACAAGCTCCTCCACCTCACCTCCTTCGGCTTGGATAAGCAATGATGTGAACCCATCTTTTCCTCGGGCCATATAGCCACGTGTGGCAAGGAGATACTCACGATCCAAGTCAATGGGCTCGCCGCCAACACGAGCGAATGTAATACGTGACCCCGAAGGTGCGTCCAGTTTAAAACCGTAGGTGATATTAGATACTTGCGAGAATCGACCCTCTAGTGCAGGGAGTTGGCTAACCCCATTCTCGAGGGCAGCTAGCAATGCATGGCCACGAACGCGCAACAATACGACAGGGTCTTCGAAAGGGAAGCAGTTCAGCAGGTCCTTCAGCTTCAGTATTCCTGGCGGGTAGATTTGATCGCCGCGAATTGTGCCGCCTGCCATCATGGCACAATCAGCCGAATAGTAGAAGCGCATCAGGTCGCAGACAAAATTACCCAAATTAGATTCACGCTGGCGCACAGTAGAAAACCGGCCGTCGAGTGGGGTGACTGTGAATCCTATTGGCTTTTCTAATTTGGCATGGAGGCTGGCAGTAAGCCTGCCCACCATTGCCACTGTATCCTGATCTTCAGGGATTGAGCGAACAATGTCTCGCCGCACAATGTTGAAGTCCCAACCAGGCAAACCATCGGGTTTGCGGAAAGCCTCGATGTAACTTAACTGTTTGAAGTCAGTACCTGATCGCATCACATGGATACCATTGACAACGGCATGGGCGTAGAAGTGGTCATGGCCTCCAAGAATGATGTCAACAAGATCGGATGACAGGTTGTTAGCCAGTTTGTAGTCATTCGGTTCACGTTGGTGAGTGACAGCGACGACGAGGTCTGCGCCCTCATCTCGGAGCTGTTTCGCAAGCACTCGAGCTGTTTCAGATGCGGATTTGTAGATTAGATCGGGCGGAAGAGAGTTTATTGTACCGAGCCTAAAGTAGACCCGAGTAAGCAAAGAAATACAAGCACTAGAGGGATATATTCTAGGAATGCATACCATTCTCTTTCTCCAAGACCCAATACGCCAATCTTGAGCCCGTTGGATGAGATCAACATGTGAGTCTTTCCGCAGTCAGCTATTGGGGTATCATCTCCCAGTGCCGGGTCAAGAACATTCGCTAAAAGCCAAGGAAATTGACATTGGCTGGCCAAATGGCGGAATTGAGCGACTCCAAAATCGAGATCATGATTCTAGATAACTTAGATTAGCGGTGTACATATCCCTGGCGGACAGCTGGTTGCCATACTCACACCCACACACGCTACATCGGTGCCCACTGTGTTAAGAAATGGTACCATATGTCTGCCCTTTGTGACTGTACTTTCGATACTCGGGTTGAAAGCATCGCCGGAGAAGAAGGTGAGGATATCGGGCTGCCCGGCATACTGCGGGTGATGACGGTAGTGGTTTAGAATGGATTGGAACCTAGGCACCCCACCAACAGGCTCTGCAGAGCCAGCTCTATAAGAAATGATTTAATATCACGCTAGATTAAAGGTCATGGAGCTAGGGAGAGGAAAGGGGAGAGAAACGCATACTCGACGTGGTAGACATCATTATAGTGGATCAGCCGTAGATCCGGAGATCCAGTTCGGTCAGTGGAATAAGTGACGGATAGACCGTCTGTTTCGATGTTTGACATGACAGTCCTAACTTTAGGAAAGAATTATGGAGAGATAGTTGAAGAGAGAGAAACAAAGAGAGAGGATGAAAGGAGAGTAAAGAGGCGGAGACATGAGGGGAAGCCGCGGCGAGACCAGTGGGGTACAACAGAACCTATTTATAACGATACCGGATACAAGGATATCCCGACTATAACGATCAAAGTCCGTGCTTGAATTGATTTACTATACAAAAATCGTCAAAACCTCCTTTCTACGAACTTCGTTAATTCGCACCCTCATTATATACAGATTTCGTGACGTCATTTTCAACCAATTCCAACCAATTAAAATGCTCCACCGATCGATCTTAACCTCCTAGCCCTCTTCCTCGATGGCAGCTGTGATATCGATCATGTCGGATTGTGTCCTGCGAAGAAGGGATAAAAGCATTCGTTTTGGCGTTTCGAGGCCTCAATCGGTCAAAGAATCGATGAATGACGTTTATAGACACGATACGATATATGAATCAATGAAGTGAGATTTATTCGAGGAACTTTTTTAAAAGGAGAAAGTATGAGGCATGGAGGGATAGTAATATTGCTCTCGTTTCATAAATTCTAGCAACTGGTCTGTTGCATGGGGATAATAGGTACATGAGTTCTAGTGGTGGTCAGCAAGTATTTGTCTTGAAAGAAAACTAAAGGTGTGTTTAGTAGCGCGGTGATTGTTCCTCGTAGGTAGCCTGCTCTTCACCCAGCCGACTATCCGCATTTGTAACTTTTTGAACGCTCTGGGCACTTTTTTTAGAATTTGGGAACGCTGCACGGGTCTATTGGATGCTGCCAGCGTGGGAACCGAGGACACCTAGTGTTGTTGCGGCCAACATAGAAGAAATATCGGTGCTACCATCCTTTGCTAGCGCACAGTGGTCTCCCAGATCACGGAGTGCCTTGTCAATCTGTTCCGCTGCGCCAGATGCATGAAAGATGCGCGCGACAATTGCATGAATCTTAAGAAGCTCGGGACTCGGAAGATCATACCTTTGGTCGTACCAATTGAATTCAACGGTTTGAGGGAGGTCTAGTCGAAGTCGTGGGCGGTAGTTTTGAATGCGGTATTTGTGGGGCTGGGAGGTCTCTTCAAACGAGAAATCAAATCGCCCAAAGGACCGATGCAGCTCACTCGACATGGTCATCGCATCGGTAGTATCGTTGATATTCTCCCGTTTGAAGTTTATCGACTGGATGGTTGGAAAATGGCGGATAAGGTTTGTCCATATTATGTCTTTCGCATAGCCTTCAGACTCCGTTCTCCACCATGCAAGGGAAAACGGGATGATGTGCACGCACTCTGTGTATGTTGAGAGGCTGGTGCTGCTCGCATCAAGAGAATATTCATCGTAAAGTCCAGTCACAACAAATCTGCCACCATCACGGGCAAGGCACTCTGTTTTGAGGCGAGCTTCTCTTTGCATAAGCCCATCAGACTCAGAAGCGATATTTTCAATAGAGTCGTCCATTCCAAGAGGCGGGGAAAGACTTGGGGTCGAACGCAGCGCTCGCAATGGTGCCACCAGCCCCTTTATCAATGACTTAGCATGATCATGCAGTTGTTGATTGGTCTGAAGTGACTGGAGATGGTGGAGGAAATTGACCCTCCCATTTGCCGGAAGGTAGGCGTAGAATGCTCGTAATATTGGAATTGTCTTATCTTTGGGACCGATGGACTGGTATACATCAACTTTCTCCATGTTGGTAGTGAATCTTTTGATAGCAGATATTGTTAGAAAGATGCACTTGAAGAGAGACCCGTTAGAAGAGTGGGCCTTCCTATCTAGGTTTAGTTCCCGCGACAGGTTCCCCAATGACATAATTAAACTGCCAAGCCCTGGAGCCATATTTTAGTTATTCTTCCTCAACTACCACTTTGATAGCTGGGCACATACTACTGAGAGGTCGGGTATACCTCCCTGGTGTGTGATCACAGCCGCGACATTGGTGCCTGGTGCCTCGTATATGCCTGAGTGTTGGGGTATGTCATCATAGCTTGAATATAAAAAAAGCCAAAAATAGACCACAACGCCATGCAAGAGGTATCCTAGAATTCAATTAAAAAATTATTTCACAGCTTTTGTTCCGCCACTGTCCATCGCCGCTTCGTTCCATTTTCACGATCTACCGAGGACTCAGAACCTCCCCATAAACCACGCTGCGACTGTGTCCGTTGTGGTAACTGCTTCGTCCAGCCAATATCTACAGGCTTATCAAATCCACCAGGGATTACGGAATCTTGACTGACCGGCCGATCACCAAAGTTCGGCACAAAATTCTCCTCTGCATCCGCTTTATCAGTGGGCGATGAGATCGAGTTCCAAAGCCCAGACACAGAGGGAACACGAGAAGTAGCTGAACTAGTTGACGGACGCATCGGCAGCGTCCATGCCTGAGGACTAGTACTAGATGGCCGGTTTGGCGATTTCGGTTGGAATAGCGATGGGCGAGAGCCAAGACGATTCCGATAGGAAGGGGCTGGAGGCGGTGGAAGTACACGGGGGACGGAGGGAGATAACAGCGAGGTGAGCTGTGAGGGGTTGATCCCTGGGCGCAGATGGTCTGTTGACGCCACAAGCTGCAAGGAGTATTCCCGTGACACCGATTGGTTGGCTGGCCCCGGAGATTTAAGTGTGTGATCCATGTCATGCGGGGGCTTATTGACACGGTTGCGTCGCACAGCCATAGTGAGTGAAGCTGTGTTAATATCAAGTAAGACCGAGTGCCCGTTCAACGCGCTGATCAAAGCATTGCAATCCGCACCATGGGTGATGATAACAAGGACAGTTTGTGTATTACCATCATTTACCTCACCGTTCGACTTCGCCATGGAACCGTGTTCAGATATATCCTGCTCCCGGTACCAATTAATCATGTGTTGAAATCCATCGTGCACTCTTTCGTGCATGGTGCTCCATTCCTCGCCGAATTCGCCCCCTGTGCCCCAATAAGGCGTACGCATACTGTCCCACTGGTAGTCGATTCGCGTACATGCGTTCCGTGCATGAGCAACATAGCCCGTAGGAATGGGATCCGAGCTGGAAACGGCGTAACTGGGAGTTGGGGGTACGTAATATGCGTCTAGAGTAGGCGGCAGGTTCGTTTTCAGGCGACCAAGAGTCTTTTTTGCATGTTTGAGATGGATGGGTTTCTGAGTGTCCGTGCTGGCACGCTGGCGCTGAGATGTTGCCGAATGCAAGCGGCGGTCTTCATCAACCGGCGAAGTTGGATGCGACTGGCTGCGCCAACCACCAGGAAAATGGCCGGACGGCGTTCTTGTCAAACCATCAGTGGGTGGGATGACCTCGGCACGACGGAGCAATTCCCCTTTGGCAGACGCCACCATTCTATCCGAGCCCGGCGGGGGCGTGATTTGATCGAAGTAGTCAGGTGATAGCCATTCGCCCAGAAATGCGTCGACGCGAAGCAGACATCGCTGGTCGGGGGTTGATGAAACTGCGGGGGCAGTGGGAGCTGAACTAGTTGCTTCCGATGCTTCTGTGCCCGACGTTTGTTGGTTAATACCAGCACTCACTCCTATGGCAGTTTGCAGACATCGAAGGTAAGGAGAGGTATGGACAATGACGTTATATCGGGGGGGTAGGTCCGAGGATGTGGGGGTGGGGTTTGCCTGTTTATCCGAGGTCGGATGATGGCTCTGCTGACTCTCTGGATCTTCCCCGGTGAATTGTCGGGACCTTAGGAGACTTCCTATACGTACACCAAGAGCCCGAGACTGTACCCATCCACCGTAGGAAAGAGGTGGATCGAAAGGGCTTGGAGAGGTTAGGTGCCAATTTTTGTCTGCGGCATCAAGGCGGGCGCCATGTCTAGCAGCTTAGTGAGTAGTAGAAGCAGTACAATAGAAGTAAGTACCTACCTGGCAATAAACACAATAGGTGGTGATTTTTTCATCGAGGTTAATGTGTCCTTGGACCCCACGTCACTTTGTTTTTTTTGGTTCGCGGGGAAGATGGAGCGTTGTGTATCCGAGGCTTGCAGAGAATGAAGCAACCGAAATGGAAATTATACCAGAAAATATCAGAAAACGAGCCCTATGGCTAGTCAACCAGGTATCGCAACAAGCATATTGAGACTTGCAATAAGAAGAGGATGCGAACGAAAGTGAAGAGCGCGAAAGTTGAAAGAACCCTTGTTGCCAACAGGTGCATGTGCATGTGATGCTTACTAACCACCCCTCACGACCTTCCTACCTAGGGGACAAATATTACAACGTTGTATATAACATATGGCATCCCATAGCATATCAGGGAATATATTCAAATATACCAAGCTGATACTGTGGTGACATTAAGTTGGACTATCTGGTTTGACGTTTTCAATGCAAATATTCAAGGGGTTGTTATATGTAGTTCTTTCCGTGAGTATAGATCCTTTCCAAGGTTAAACTAATGATTTAGCCTAATAAGAGACGGCATAAACTATATATGTAGCCAAACGCCACCCTACAGAAAGCAATCTAAACCCAATGAGTCCATCTTATGTATATCAAATTTGCCAAAGATTTAGATCGACAACTCCAGTCTATCGGGCCCGAAAATGTCGAACTCAGGATTCAGCTTTGTGATTAGATACAAAGGCAGCTTGCTCCCGATTTTTGCTTAGTTTCTTTTTTACTATAGATTTGATCATTGAGCTATAAAGCACACTCATCGCACCCAGCCATTATCGGACATGGAAAAATATGATATCAATCTAAAGGCCTATGCAACATGGAAATCAAAGTCTTTGTCATGAATAGATGATGAAACTACCAAAATAACTTTTCTGGAAAGCTGTCTTTGTCAGTGGGGTCTGTATGGCACAATTCATGAATCAAGCTTTGATTTTGGCAGCGTCTTGATCTACTTGGTGCTACCGCAGGAATTTTAGGTCTAGTGCTGATCAAATTTTCTGGGAACCAGTCCGCGCTTGTATGCTGGAAGAGCCCCGGTGAATTTAGTTTTCTCATAGTTTGTTTTATTTGCCTCAGCGCCTTTACAATAATCGAACGCAAGACGCCATCTCTATTGCTCCTACGGTTAGACTGGACTGAATTGGACTGGACTGGACTGGGTGCCTGGGTTTATCGCAGCGTTCTTCGAATTTTAGGATTCTTTTCTACTACTGCTTCCAATTCGAGGAAGGCAATTCACCTTCCAGCGTGCCCTTTTCACGGTCTTTATCCTCCGTTCGGTCCAATTATTTCATCCACCTCAACCCAGACTTGCGAAAGTAATTTACGGGGCTAGCTTACATTTGAGTTTCAAATATTGATCACCTTTTCATCTATCATGCATCTACAATTAGTTTGTACGCTGCTTATGAGAACTATGATTGCTATTCCCTGTGGTAGTCTGGAAGTAAGTCTCTCTGTTATCCAAAGATATATTCGATCTTGAGCTCACCAACTGTTATATTACACTATCGACAGGTATGCTTAGCAATATAAACATTTATTTTTACTTCAGCGTAACATGTCTTTGAGGATGTGCAGCAGCTTACAACTTTGACCATGCCTACTCCAATTAGAGGGTGACTACAACTGCTAGCACACAGTCAATAGATGCCCAGAAGAGAATATTGCCGTATGAATATGAGTCCTTTGAGCCATTTTGATAACATAGGCTAACATGAATTGAAACGGATTTTGAATGGCAGACTGGTTCCCCGTATAGATCTCTGGTGTTAGTCGACCCTCCATAACACGGGACCTCATTTCCGACACATAAAAGAAGACAAAAAAATAACTATACGGCTAATTAGGAGAAATTGTTGTATAGAATACATCTACTATTCACGATTCAAGATTTAAGAATTCAAAAATTCAACAATCCAATATATAACTATAGCAATTCGGCAATCGCTTTTACTAGAAATGGACATAGCCGTGCCGAAATCAGTGGCCGATCGGGGCCGACTTCGGGGCCGTTATCTGATCCTCCATCTTTTATAGAGCCCCATGTTCCTTGTTCGTTTTCTTTTTGCTTCATATCCCAATATTGGAAGCTATAACTATAACTACGATGGCAAACACAACTCTTCCTCATTCTTCTCTGTGCGTCACCGCAACAGACTTTGAGAAAGTCGCAAAAAATGTCCTACCAGAGAAGTCATGGGTATATGCATCAAGCTCAGCTGCTTCTGGCCTGTCAATGAAGGCCAATCTCGATGACTGGGCTTTGATCAACTTCCGACCCCGGATCTTGAGGAAGGTTGATTCACTAGACACTCGAAGGAACATCTTGGGACATACCTCCCAGTTCCCATTCTTCGTATCAGCTATGGGTACACTGGGCAGCTCACACCCTGGCGCTGAACCCTTGCTGGTGAGAGGAGCAACCCGTAAAGGCATGCACACCATGATCAGTACGGCGTCTACTAAGCCGCTCGAAGAAATCATGGATGCTCATCTGGACGAGCAACGGTTACTCAACAATCAAAGCCCTTCGAACTTGTCATTCCAGCTCTACGTGCCTGTGGATCGGACAAGAGCCAAGTCCCTCATTCAAAGAGTCAAGGCAGCCGGATATCACAGCCTGTGGGTCACAGTGGATACTTCAACACTAGGAAAGCGTACTGCCGACCGCTACCTCCAAGCACAAGAAAATCTCGAGGCTGGTGCTGGAGATGCAAGAGACATTCACAATGAGAACGACTTTGCACCAGCGTTCGGAGGTCGGCAGGTTCCCGGTTCGGTAGATGGTGGTCTCACCTGGGAAGATTTGGACTGGATTGCATCAGAATGGAAAGGGCCACTTGTTCTCAAGGGAATTCAAAGTGTAGAGGATGTGAAGCTGGCTGTCCAACATGGCGTACAGGGAATTCTATTGAGCAATCATGGAGGCAGACAGATTCATTCCGCCCCAAGCTCATTGATGACCCTCCTAGAGATTCGCACATACTACCCAGAAGCCTTCGACAAGCTCCAAGTGTTTGTTGACGGAGGTCTTCGCGATGGAGCAGATGTCCTCAAGGCGTTGTGTCTCGGAGCCACTGCGGTTGGAGTGGGTCGGCCTTACTACTATGCCCTCGCGGCATACGGCGCCGAAGGAGTGGAAAGATGTACAGACAGTAAGTTGGGACTGGAACCTTGGAATTCAAGTCAATGTTGAGCTAACGGACTTGTAGTCCTCTCCGAAGAAGTTGAAATCACCATGAAGATGCTTGGAGTCTCTTCCCTATGCCAACTGCGACCAGAAATGGTAAACACCAGCCGGCTAGCGAATGAAATGTGGCGACCAGGATTTGGGAAGTCTAAGTTGTGAAAAAGGAACATTTGAACATTGTGTAAATTTATTCATGAGGCCAAAAAGTGCCACTGTATCTCTACCTGTGTATTTAATTGAGACTGGTATCCTAAAAAAAGTCACGCTCGCTATATAACCCATTCAAACAGCTCCCCAACCACCGCCACCGGGAGTGTTGATCACAATCCGGTCGTGTGTCTTCATCGAGACAGTATTTTTGCCGCCGATGTTGATACGGCGCTCAGCACCAGTTTCTTCATCCCGCGTGATCCACAGATTGAATCCGGTCTCCGCATCCTGGCCACCTTCGATTCCGTAAGGCCGATGGACGCGGCGCTCAGACAGAATGGAACATTGAATTGGTGAAAGGAATTCGATGTCACGAATCACACCCTCGCCACCCGGGTTCTTGCCCTTGCCGCCAGAGCCTTCACGTAGGGTGAATTGGCGGAGCATTGTAGGATAGCGCTTTTCTAGGATTTCAGGATCGGTGATCCGCGTGTTGGTCATGTGAACATGAATACCAGACTCGCCCTTCCAAGTTGGGCCAGCACCACTGCCACCAGCGATAGTCTCGTAATATCCAAATCCGGGCTTGATGACAGCCCCGGTGGATGGATCAAGCTTGGCGTCTGTACCGAAGGTCAGGTTGTTACAGCAACCCTGGGACGCAGCACAAGCCTGGAAGGCTTTGAACACGACGTCAGTGATGCGCTGGGAGGTCACAACATTGCCACCAACAACGGCAGCGGTCTTGCTGGGTGACAAAATGCTGGACTTGGGGACACGAATGTCAATTGGCGCCAGGCATCCCTGGTTCAGTGGCACATCTGCGTTGATCATGCAGCGCAGACAGTAGATGATGGCTGAGTGAGTGATGGCAATAGGAGCGTTCCAGCTGCCATACACCTCAGGACCTGTGCCCTCGAAATCGAAGACGGCTGATCCGTCGGTACCGTTGATGGTGACCTTCAATCGAATGGGGGTGCCATCATCCATGTAGTCGACTGACTCCAGTGGCTGGCCATTGAACTTCTTGTACAGCTCCTTGAGAAGATTGCGCACGGCAGACTCGGCGGTTTCCTGGATGGCGTACATGTACTTTTGCACGGTCTGGGTTCCATATTCGTTGAACAGAGTTTGGATCAAGTTGATTCCACGAGTGTTGGCAGCAATCTGCGCCTTGAGATCAGACAAGTTGTCGCTGATGCAGCGTGCTCCAGCGCAGCCGGGGTATTGCGAGGGCTTTGTGACAAGCAACTCGATCAAACGTGCCTCATCCAAGACACCATCACTAACAATCTTGTCGCCTTCTATGGCGGCGCCTTCTTGCCACAGCTCGGTGGATTTGGGAGGCATGGATCCAGGCAAGATACCACCAATATCAGCGTGGTGGCCACGGGAAGCCACGTAAAACATGATCTCAGAGCCGCCAGGACGGTCAAAGACCGGTGTAATAACCTATAAACATATCAGTATCTGACGAGAGTATTCAATGTGAAGATGACTTACTGTAATATCGGGCAGATGGGTGCCTCCACAACTGGGGTGATTGGCCACCAGCACATCACCATCCTTCAAGTTACCTAGCCACTTCTCGTGCTGATAACGCACGGCAAATTGCATCGATCCAAGATGGACTGGAACGTGGGGTGCATTAGCCACTAAACCTCCGTCAGGGGAGAACAGAGCGCAAGAGAAATCCAGTCGCTCCTTGATGTTGGTTGAAACGGAGGTCTTCTGCAGCGTACGACCCATCTGCTCAGCAATGGACATGAAGCGATGTCCAAAGATAGTAAGTCTGATGGGGTCAATTTCCGATGACACAGCGACGCCTCCGGAAGAGGCTGGGACTTCGTCCTCGAGATCGATGACAATGCAGGTGTCAAGCAGGTTCGCCACTGCGTTGGGAGCCACGACAATTGTTTGAGTTTGATCAATGATGACAGCCGGGCCGTGAATGCGAGAATGCTTCTGCAATTCACCGAGAAGATAAACCGGTGTATCGATTCGGCTCGAATCGCCGAAGTAGGCTGAAGTGGTGCTGTTGGGAGCGGTCGCGACATCTTGCATATTGGCTTCTTTCAGTTGAACCAAGGGGCTTTGCTCGGTCCGTACCTTGGATGAAGCGATAGTTCGCACTCGAACGTCATCAACAAGAACAGGTCGGTCGGAGTTGAAGTTGAATTCGCGGCGATGACGAATGCGGAATTCCTCCAGGAAATCTGTCGAGTTCTCGGGCTTCAGGATCATCAGACTGGTGTCGGAACCTTCGTAGCGCATGTTCAGGTACTGTTCATGGCGCACTTGAGTGGAAGGGAAGCCTTGGGATTCCATATCTTTGGTTGCTGCTGCCGACAACTCATCGATATGTTGAAGAAGATCAGACTGTGAAGACAGGTAGACTGACGAGACAGGCTCCTGCGACTCCTTGACAACCTCTGCCAAAGCAAGACCGTACGCTGATAGAACGGAAGAGTACTTGTGAATGATGATGCGGGAGATTCCGAGCGTTTTGGCCACTGAGCATGCGTGCTGGCCACCAGCACCTCCAAAGCATGCCAAATGATGAGATGCGGTCTCATATCCACGAGCCTCCGTGAGGTTACGGATTGGCCGGGACATAGACTCATCTGCGACCTTGAGGAATCCAAGTGCAACCTCCTCTGGGGAGAACTCTGACTGGCCTTGCTCTTTGCGTTCAATGTTGATTTTTTGTGTGAGTTCATTGAAAAGACGAGCAGTCGTCTCTGTGTCCAGAGCCTCATTCTCATTCGGGCCGAAGATCTTTGGGAAGTACTCCGGCAGAAGACGGCCTAGGAACAGATTGGCGTCTGTCACTGTGAGAGGGCCGCCCTTTCGGTAGCAGGCCGGACCAGGGTGAGCACTAGCAGACTCAGGACCGACATAGAACAAGCCATTGCGCCAAGTGAGAATGGAACCACCGCCAGCAGCGACAGTGTTGATATCAAGCTGAGGGGACTGGATCATCACGCCTGCAACCTTGGACGCAAATACATGTTCAAGGTGGCCATCAAATCTGGAGACATCTGTGCTGGTACCACCCATGTCGAAACCAATGACGGGAGTCTTCTCAGTGGGATCCCAGCTAGTGGCTGCAAAGCCGACCACACCAGCTGCGGGGCCGGACAAAATTGCCTTCAGACCGCTGAATTTGCGGAAATCAACCAGTCCACCATCGGATTGCATGAACTCAAATCGGCAATCCTGCTGGCTTTCCAAGCCACCTTCAAAGCTGGAAGATATGGAGTCAATATATGTCTTAATAACAGGCGTAAGGTAGGCATCGGCGGCGGCTGACATGCCACGAGGCACGATCTTGATCATGGGCTGAAGTTTTGAAGAGAGGGTAACCGAGAATCCCATCTCTTGGGCGAGCTCGCCGATTTGACGCTCGTGCTCAGGGTATGCGTAGGAATGCAATAGCGCCACAGAGATTGACAGAATCCCTTGCTCCTTGAGTCGTTGGAGCTCTGCCTTCACCTGAACAAGGTCAAGTTCTTCCACCACACGGAATTTCTCGCCGGTGATTCCCTCTACTATGCGGCAATCGGAGAAGCAATCGCTATCAGCAGAGGGATGGCAGGACAGCACACGTTCGTTGACCTCGACGACACTCTCCGGGAGTACTCCGGGACGAGCCATTGATAGGTCAAAAATGGCCGGGCGAGATTGGTCGCCAATTTTTAATAAATCTTTAAATCCTCTAGTTGTGAAGAGTACTGAGCGAGCGCCCTTGCGCTCGAGCAAGGCATTGGTTGCAACGGTTGTGCCCATGCGTAAGCAACCAATACGGTCGAGCTTCAATGGTTGGCCTCTTGGATGTGACTCCCCAGTGGCCAGCTCTAAAATTCGACGAATACCCTCAGTTGGAGCATCTTGATAATTAGAAGGATCCACAGAGAGAAGCTTCAAGATAATGTCGGGGCGGCCAGGTTGAATGGCGTGGACATCAGTAAATGTGCCGCCACGATCGATAGAGATGGTGATCTTCCCCGAGTCAGACATTGTGACTATGTAGTGTGAGTGGGAAGATGTGGGGTGGGTATAAGAAAAGAAAAATGCAAGAATAACAGCTAGAGAGTATCAGAAGGGATTTGTATTCATTTATATTATAAAAGCTCGTCCCGATACCCCAGCACTTCCCCAATGATTATCGTGCAGCTCGCTATTACATGCAGGTCACGTGTCGGGCCGATGGGTCCGTTTTCGGTTTCCTCGGTCCGACACATCCACGGCTTGATAATCCACGGCTTGATAATCCACGGCTTGATAATCCACGGCTTGATAAGTTATCAAGCCGCGGGGTTTGAAATTGATGGAGGGGAAGATAGGGGCTTATGTATTTGATCTAGTACGGAGTTAATAATAAGAATAATAATAACAATTTGTGGAGAAAATACTCCAGTGTATGTGGGTCTGGTCAATTCATGTTTGGCTCGTAGGATATGTGTCAAGCCATATAAATACTACGTAGGTACTAAGTCCTACACATAAGATACAATTATGGAATCATTTCGGAATGATACATATACATATACATTTGTTTTTTTTTATCGCTTTAAAGTATTCTCAATCCAGTCAGTATCCATGTCAATATCGATTTGATCCAAAGCCCCTTCCCAGAGTGCTGGATCATCGTTTAGATCGAACTGGAAGGCAATATCCCGGAAAGAGGGGAGATCTGGCTGTTGTGGCCAGTTATAAGTAAGCACTTGCGAGGGTGCTAACTCTGCACTCGGATCTGGAGCATCGTCTGACACATTTGCACCGCTTTCAGTCATCGGCGTCACAGGACACCTTTGACCTGCAGCAACAGAATTTGCCGCTTCGGTGTCCTTTTCTTCAGCAGATCTAGGTCCAATAGCCGCCCGTAATTCCAACAGTAATGTGTGACGCGAGTCCAGATATGTATTTCCGCGATCTGCCATCCCGCGAAGAAGGTTTAGTGCAGTCTCCATGGCCCGGGCACTGGTTTCATTAGGCGGAAACGCGGC